TCTGTTCCCTTATGGTTCCTGTGAAGTCTCAGTTTGTACTGTGGCTGCTGTGCACCCACCCCCAGAGCCCTCCTCTGTCCTTATAGCCCATCTTTTGCTTCTCACAAACTGCCACCCTTGCCTGCCAGCCAGTCTTGAAGCCACTAAGCAAGCAGCACACCCAAATCAAGGGTTTGGTGCCCCAGGCCTTGGCTTGCCCAGGTGCACATGAGTGTTCAGTACAGCATTTCAGCACAACACTGTACTGTGACAGACCTGGCCTTCATCACAACAGTCCCATTTCCAGGATTTTATCTCATGGAGACTGCCTGGGGAAACATATCCTATCCTCAGGTCACTTGCAAACTTTGTTGGTCAAGACTGTGGTTTCAGGATATGATGATCAGGGATTTTTTTGTTTAAGTGACAATGGATATAAACCTACCCTCACCCACACTACCATAAGGGAGTTTATGACATTTTTTATGCCTTCGCTTAAACCGATTTAACTTGAAGGTAGGTTCAAACACGGGAATTCACCACTGGAATTGGGAAGGAACACAGCTACCTGGACTGAACCACAGGGAGGCACCAGTTCTCATTTACCTGGAGACACAGCCCATTCACTCACATGAGATGCAACTGAATCCTCATTCTGCCCAGTAGCTCCTTGGACAGCTTGTAACTTTTGAATTATGCCTTCTGCTTGGGACTTGCTTGGGATGATGGCTAAATTCAACTCATTCCCAGCATGAGGGACAAAAGGCCTGGGAGATGAATGTGACAGGAGAAAGGACAGTGGAGTTTACCTTAAACTCAAAGAGACTCTTTCCAGGACGAAGGGGACTTGGCTTCGTGTAAGAATTCTGATTCTGAAAAATGGTGAAAGGTTGATCATCTTATCATCAGATTAATGAGGTCTGGGAATTGACACATAATGTACTGTCGATAGGGATTGTCCAACCCGTGTTTTTATTTGTAGATTGCGTAACAGTGTGGGGCAGTGTCTCTTCCTGAAAATAGCACTTACTAGCCGGTGATAAGAACGCATTCTCCTAAACAGTACCATCCGGCTTGGTTAGCATGAGCATGACTCTGTCTCACTGCTCTGGAATACCTACTGAAAGCTTTCAGGGCCTATAAGTGGTCCTTCAATTGGGTTGGAGATGGGAGAAGAAATAACTTGCCGAGGCCTAGTACAGATTGATCCTCTGTCCCCAGCATCTGCTGCTGCTTCTAAGCATCCTTAAAACCACCAGCCACTTGTTTGTTCAGCTGCCCAGCCCTGAGCATCCTGCCCTGCCATCGGGAACCCTTCTGATAAGCATTTGTTGAAAGAGGAATGTTCGAACGTGCCACTGCTGGGGCGTCCACTAGGGCCGCCTCCAGTGATCGCTGAGAAGTTCCAGCAAGTACGTCTTGCAAGTACCCAACACCAGCAGCAATTATTTGGCGGAAAACGGCCTTTGCCATCACTGCACTTAAGGGTGTGGGGCAAAGATCGGCTCATGGGGTGTTGGGGAGAGCAGACCTCACCTTCACCAGTAAGGCAGGAGAGCTCACTGAGGACGACATGGACCGTGTGTGTACCATGATGCGGAATCCATGCCAGTATAAGCTCCCAGACTGGTTCTGCAACAGACGAAAGGACGTCAAGGATGGAAAAAATACAACCAGGTCCTGGCCAATGGTACAAACACCAAACTACGCGAAGGCCTGGAGCGACTGGCGAAGATTCAGGCCCAAAGAAGGTGGCACCCCTTCTGGGGACTTCGTGTCCGAGGCCAGCACTCAAAGACCACAGGCTGCTGTGGCCATACTGTGGGTGGGTCCAAGGAATCTTTAGGCCTTGTCTGTGAATAAATAGTTTATACATGGAAGGAAGGAAGGAAAGAAGGGAGGGAGGGAGAAAGGAAGGAAGGAAGGAAGGAAGGAAGGAAGGAAGGAAGGAAGGAAGGAAGGAAGGAACGAGGAAGGAAGGAAAAAGAAGGAAGGAAAGAAAGAAAAGGAAAAGAAAGATTATTCTTTTGGTTTGGTTTTGGGGATTTTTTAGTTGACCCTCCTAGTCACTGTCCCTGAAAGGCCTTGTCTTGTTTAAAAAAAAAAAAGAGGGGCGCCTGTGTAGCTCAGTCATTTAAGCGTTTGACTCTTGATTCCGCTCAGGTCGCGATCCCAGGGTCGTGGGATCAAGCCTCAGGTCTGGCTCTGTCCTGAGCACGGAGCCTCCTTAAGATCTCTGTCTCCTTCTGCCTCTCCCTGACTCATGTAGGTGTCTTCTCTTTCTCTCTAAGAAAAAAAAAACAAAAACGAAAAAACCTGATTTCTTTATTTTCATGCTTTAAATGAGACCTGTTACTTCCTCTCCCTTGCTGGTGAATTCAGCTTTAGTGATGGTAACTTGAGAGCCACTGAGGGGCCTCAAGGAACCGTTCCAGTCCCCTCCCATGCTCTGCTCACTCAGACACTGGCAGTCTCTGCTGTTGGGATTGTCCATAGTTTAGTCTGCTGCCACAGGACATCAGAGGTAAGGGGTGCTTGCAGGAGTGATCTCGTCTGCGTTAGGAATCAGCTTGCTTGAGTTTTCTGTAGCATCTTCAAGTCAACAAAACTCTAAAACTGAAATCAGCCCATACAGCAGTGTCACTTTGTGTTTGAGACACTAGAGGATGAATCCCATATCAGTCAATGTGTATTAAGGACCACTATGAGCAGGGGCACCTGGGTGGCTCAGTCAGTTGAGTGTCTGACTTCAGCTCAGGTCACAAACTCGCGGTTTGTGAGTTCAAGCCCCGCATCGGGCTCTGTGCTGACAGCTCAGAGCCTGGAGCCTGCTTCGGATTCTGTGTCTCCCTCTCTCTCTGCCCTTCCCCTGCTTATGCTCTGTCTCTCTCTGTCTCTCAAAAATAAATAAAATGTTTAAAAAAAAATTTTTTTTAAAGGACCACTATGAGCCAAATACTGAGCTGAGTGCTGTGGAAAAAACACACGAGTTCCCCATTTTTAAAGAATTTAGTAATTGGATAAATAAGACATTTGCCCAGAGCTGAGGTCCCCTTAGGGCTACATCCAAACAGAGGGGCACATTTTTATGAGTGCTTCTTAGTGGGAAGGCTCTTCCTACGTACACAGAGGTGCTGGACAGGACATCAGTGGCTCGGTTCTTGTATAAAATCAGTAAATATGTAAATAAATGCTGAGTGGATTATTGAGGGTCCACACAGATTTATTCTCCCTACTTCAAGAGGGGCTCTCAAGTGGATTGCTGTCTGATGCCTTTGAAGAATCAGAATGTGTGTGTCTTGGGGAGGGCAGTTAGGAGAGATATGCTCTAAAGCCCTTTAAGAGTTCCCAAATTCTCTGAGTCTGTGAATTAAACTGGATGCTAACATTAAATAAAATCCTCTATTTTAAACCAGAGCGGTGTTTTCCTATTAATATTTCAAAGCCTTCCCTTTACCTTTCATCACATAATGCAATTCATTTATGGACTGAATTCTTTTAATGTACTTAAGTGCTTTTGAGTGCTTTGAGAATTGAAGAAGTGGAAAGTTGGGCTCCTGTCCTTGAATATTTATGTACTTAGGAACAGAGAAATACTAACCACAGTATAAGAATATCCACCATATGTAGGGATTGTCCATTGGATACCTTGTCAAATACCCTTGGTGTTGATGGTGACACTACAGCAGTGTTACTGGTATGGGCTGGCAACCTCAAATACTGCGAAAAGGGTCTTAAGCAAGCAACCACAAAACTTCAACCAACCGGTGACATTTCCTGCCTGTGCGGTCATCTGCAGGTGAAGACACCAAGTAGGTGGTGAATGGGGATTAAAATTAGCCGAACGATCATAGCGACGCTATCTTAGTATTTTCCCTTTCTGTTCAGCCACCGTGGCGTTCTCACATTCTCAGAAATCTGTCTTGTGAATCCTGTGCTTTGCAGACTGACACCAAAGAAGGTCTGCTCCATGGAAATTAAAACACCGTGTATGTGCCTTCCCGCCTTCCTTTCTCTCCTCTTGCTCGTATTGGAATTGGTGTCCCCAGTCCCTAACATTGAGGGAACTCAACTCCTGTATCCACCACACTCATTACCTCCATTGGTTTGTGGTTCAGCATGCAAACCATCCTGACTTGCTTTTGCCTCTAGTCCTTCTTTTACCAAGGTCAGCCCTAAAAGCCTAGTGATCCTCATTATATACCAGCACTCACCTAGACTATGTGATCAGTATAAAAGGCAATAAGATCCTCACACTGCCCTGGAGCTCTCACACTAAAGAGCTAATAAGGGGGCTAGATGGATGGACCAGTGACTGGGGGAGGGGGGTAGATGGCAGGGAGAAGAGTTAGAGAATAGGAGGGTGAGTGTGGACCCAGAGGCCTCCCAACTCAGAACCATTCTGATTCTGTGAACTTGGCCAAGTTGATAAGTGAGAGCCTCAGATTCCAGATCTGTAATCTGGGAGTAATAATTCCCACCCAGCCTGGGTGGTGGTGTAGATTAGACTGGAAATTGCTTAGAGAGGTCCTCGGTTAAAACATCGACAACCCAAAATGGGACCTATATAACTACAACATTGGGTGTTAAGGGAAATGCAGACAAAGGGGCGGGGGCTCCCAGCAGAAAGGCTCACAGCTGGCTGTGAGCCTGTGTGCTGTGCACATGTGTGCAGGGGCCCTCCCAGACTCCAGGTGATCTGTCGCCTCAGCATGCTAGCCGGGCAGAGCTGGGCAGCGTGGGGCCCTCTTGCGCACGCCCGGCAGCCACCAAGTCCCCACAAAGTCGGATGTTTACCTGCAGCAGCAGGCAGGACCTGGAGCTCCTGCCCTTGAGGCACCAGCTGAGAGGCTTCAGAACGGAGATCTGGAAAGCGCACAGCTGTCCACGCTGACTTCAGCCTGTTGTGGGGCTTGAACATCATTCCCCTCTCCAGAAAGCAAGGTTTTCTCATCGTTTTTCCTTCCACATGTCCCCCTTCCCCGGATGTCTAAGGTGAAGCGTTTTTCTCTCTTCTCCAGCTCAGAGGCTGAGAATGGTTTGGAGGAGAAAAAGAAGATCTGCAGGTCGCCAACAGCCCAGTCCCCTACCCCGTCCTGCGAGGCTGAGTCCCCAGACCAGAAGAGAATCATTTCCTTGCGGTGAGTGTCCTCACGTTGACTCTTGGTTCTTTGGGGCCTTTGGGGAGGAGGGGTGGCTGGGAGGAGCTGATGTTTCTAGTTCAATGGCAGTTGTCACAAGTGAGGATCCACTGTAACCAGATAACCCCCTGAGAAAGAAGTGGGGTGGTTTTCCTCAATCTCGGCACGGATGTGTGCCTTCCTTTCTCATCCCTTTCTGGCAGCTTACTTTCTCCTTCCTGCCCCAACCTACTGCAGAACACCTGCCCCTCTCTTCAAGGACTGATCTCGCTGAGTGATAAAGCCGGGATAGCCCATTGCCTGGCATAGGTTGATACGGCACCTGGAAAGGCTGGCCGGGGTGCTGGTGCGGCCCGCCCAGGTTGGAGTATCTGCTCTGCCTGTGCGTGTGCACACCTGTCTCGCTTTCCTGGCAGCCACGAAAAAGCGGAGGGGGAGCCCTGCCTGGGATCCCCGGACAGGGTATGCATGTCCGTTTCTTGGGGCCGGTGCTGGTGGGTCCAGCGTCAGTTTGGTCGTGAGCCTAGAAGGGAACAGGCAGTTTTGAGATGAGGCGCGGTCCCTGTCACTCTGAGAGACTCTTCGTTACATGCTTTTTCTCACATGCAAGGAAGAAGTAGGAGCTCAGAGTTGTTTTTGTGCCCTCAATCAGAGAATGATCATTTCAGTGGTCAGTTACGGTGCATGTAGCCAGGGGTCTGTACTGAGTGGTGGAGCGATTGCTCATGTCTCTGTTACTGGAACTGTCAGAACTGTACCTTCTGGGTCTTCGGGCCTCTGCTAAAGGATAATTAAATAACTCCTGCCTTTCCCTTCCTTCCTGGCTACACAGCCCATTCCCTCTCTCCACATCCTTCCTTCACTCAAGACCAAGCCTAAGTCTTCTCTCTCCCCCACATTTTTCTTTCCTGCCCCTTCCACGTCTCTCTTCATCAGCTCTGCATGGCTGTTTGGACACATCTCACTTTCAGCGCTTCTTTCCATAGCTGTTTGCTGTCAGAGCACCTTGCCTCACTCAGCAAATGAGGCTCGGGCAAACGCACAAAGCATGTCGTTTCTTGTATCTCTCACCATTATTGACTGGCTCCAGCAGGCGCTTTAAAAACACTGTGGCTTTTTCTCTGCCTCCCCCAGGCTTTGGGTGAGAATAATACACTCATCATGAGGGCATGTCTGTCAAATGGTGTGGGTGTGTCATCTGTGCAGTTGCAAAGAGCCCCACGCTTGATGTAATGCTCTGCTCTCGCTGTCTGGAAATTCCTAATTCTTGAATAAGAGGCCCTACATTTTCATTCTGCACTCGACTTCCGGTCCTGCGCATAGTGACCTGTGAGGTGAGAGAGTAACAGGGTAGACACAAAGATACCAATGCCATATAAATAAGCGCCCCTTCCACCCCTTCCCCAGAGACCAGTGCTGTGCACACAAGCCCCTTCTGCTTGCGCCTCTTGAGTTCGTCAGGGATACATCGGCCTTGCCTGTCAGAATTTGCTCACAGTCGTTCAAAAGGTCTGATCGTTGCCTTGATGATTCCATTAACATTTACTAGTGTGAATCAGTCGAGGTAATTAATTCGGATTAGTGGATGGTATACTAATAGGTAAATTGCCATTTGTAAAAATTATTTTTGACTACAAATGTTTACTCATAATTTCAAAAAAAAAAAGTAATCCCTAGAATTCCAAAGTCATTTGTATCTGCAAATAGGTTCAGTGGCCAGTAGCTAAATCCAAATCTGACACCTGGAATCAATGAGAGGTATTTCACCTGTGGTTAGAGCATCATGGACCCAAACTGTTGTGGCTGGCAGCAGCTTGGAATATCATTTGGCCCATCTTTTCAGGGCTGAGAAACCCAGAGTCTGAAGTCTTCAACATTTTTTATTTATTTTTGGGACAGAGAGAGACAGAGCATGAACGGGGGAGGGGCAGAGAGAGAGGGAGACACAGAATCGGAAACAGGCTCCAGGCTCCGAGCCATCAGCCCAGAGCCTGATGCGGGGCTCGAACTCACGGACCGCAAGATCGTGACCTGGCTGAAGTCGGACGCTTAACCGACTGCGCCACCCAGGCGCCCCGAGTCTGAAGTCTTAACTGCAGTCATTTCTGTCTCTCAGTCACACCCTTGTACCACCTGAATTACTCAAGATTCTTAACTCCGCTTTGAACCAAATACTCATTTTTAAAAAAAAAAATTTTTTTAACATTTATTTATTTTTGAGACAGAGAGAGACAGAGCATGAATGGGGGAGGGTCAGAGAGAGAGGGAGACACAGAATCTGAAACAGGCTCCAGGCTCTGAGCCGTCAGCACAGAGCCCGACGCGGGGTTGGAACTCACGGACCGTGAGATCCTGACCTGAGCCGAAGTCGGACGCTCAACCGACTGAGCCACCCAGGCGCCCCGAACCAAATACTCATTTTAACTGAGCCTCTTTCTAAGGAATCATACTGTAGGATCATGGATTTCATGTGCCATTTTTCCCCAAAATGAAAAAAAAATACATACTTGTATCATAAAAGTTGTTTTTATATACATCTCTGAAAACCATACATGCATTCCACTTGAGAATGATTCTGTTTGTCTGTCAGGTTGAAGATATGTGCAAATTCACACACCTACTCAAATGAAGAGCCAGGACTAGAATCACCTTAGAAACAAATACTGGAGCTCTGACCTCTGTCCTCAGTAGAACAAAGGAAAACTTGACTTTCCAACGTGGTCTTCATTTTTATCCTGATTTCACTTCTACTGTTTTCCCACTCTGGGATGTTTTGTTTCTCTTTTCCTTATACCCAACTCCTGCTTATCCTCTGAGGCCCAGTGTATTAAACCTACGTTGTGCTGTCGATCTCCTCTTACCTCCTTCTGAACTTAGGGTGTCTATACCTCCTCCTAATAGCTGTGCTATGTATTATTATTGGGTGCTACGTCTTGTACTGCCTTAGAAAAAAGATGTTGGATGCATTCACAGGCTTCTTAAGGAAAAAGACCGTCTTGTGTCCCTCTAGGCCTTTAATACAATGCCCTACTCATTTAACCCATGTTAAATATTAATAGAATTCTGAAATGAAAATATTCTTTGATCGAATTATAGCTGCAGTTTTGTTTAATAATTTGCCTACAGTACTTTTACTGCTTAAAATCCTTTGAGATGGTATAATTACCTTCACAATTCAGTTTGTATTTCTCCCTTCTAGAAGTCTGCATTTCTGCAGATTGAGGTTGTGGCCCTGTGAAACCATCCCAGTCTCCCACACACTGTGCTGTGTAAATGCTCTTAGAGTATTAGGAGTGATCACTGGTGTCCAGAAAAACAAAACAAAACAAATGTCAGGTTTTCTTGTGAGATGGCATGCTAATCAAGATTTATTACAATAGGATTAATGAGTAGCATTAAACAATTCATCTTACAGACTCCCTGGGTTCTCTTTGCTCAGGTCAAAATCCAGTTTTGATGGTGCCTCTTTAGCAAGTGATAAGAACGACTGTAAAACAGAAAGCAAAAATGAATCTAAGATGGACAGGAAGAAGTCTTCGTCTTCCAGCCAGGTAACTTGGGAATGCGGACTGCACTGATCAGAGGATGGGGGGACCCCTAGAGCCAAGGGAAAGGAAGGACCCAAATGTGTATCTTCCTGCCATTCACGACTCTCGTAGGCAGATAGTAGAGAATCTGGAACACAGAACAGGATGCAGATCCTTCGGCCGACTATTAATCAGTTTCATATTTCCCCACTGACCTTCCAGTATATCCCGGGTGGCGGTGAGTTGCATACCGTGACCCCTAACTCTGACAAGTGCCCCAAGAGCAGGGACCTATGTGGTCATGTGGTGGTCTAAAAACCAGCCAAGATAATTAGCTCGCCTAACGATTAAGAGAGTTGTGATGTCCTTGCATCAAAATGAAAGAGTGTGATACAGCACCTGTGTGAATGGAAGGCAACCCAGCTTCCCACTGAAGAGGAAAACCTGTGGACCATCACGATTCTCCTCCAGAAGCAGTTCAGTTCCGCTCTAAAACCCACCCTGATAGGTAACTAAGCCCAGTCCTGTGTCATGGAGTGTGGCATACTTACTGGGACCAGTAGTTTGAGGTTGTTTTTTAACACTCCCCCCCCACCCCCCGCTAAATACTCGAATATGTGTTTCCTAAGAAGGAGAACAGAAAACCCATTGGCACACACAAGAAATTTAACTGAATAGTAAATACACAAAAATATTACTCCTATAAAATCCATTTCAGAATTCCACAGTCTTCCAGTAGTCATTGCCTGCATCAATGTTTTTTGCCCCCCCCACCCAAATGAATCCAGTCAGGAGCCAAATAATGGATTTATCTGTCCCTTTTTTTTTTTATTTTTTAATGTTTTTATTTATTTTTGAGACAGAGAGAGACAGAGCATGAGCAGGGGAGGGGCAGAGAGAGAGGGAGACACAGAATCTGAAGCAGGCTCCAGGCTCCGAGCTGTCAGCACAGAGCCTGACGCGGGGCTCGAACTCACAGACCGTGAGATCATGACCTGAGCCCAACCGACCGAGCCATCCAGGCACCCCTATCTGTCCCTTTTAATGTACATCATTTCCACTGGCTTTTTTTTTTCTTTCTTTTTTTTTTTTTTTTTTTTTTTTCCGTTTATTACATTCACATTTGTGAAGACTTCATGTTCCAGGTTGTTTTTTGGATTTTTTGGCTCAGGTTATTTTTCTTAAACGCTTTCATTTTTGAGACAGACAGATCGCAAGCAAGGGAGGGGCAGAAAGAGAGGGAGACACAGAATCCGAAGCAGGCTCCAGGCTCTGAGCTGTCAGCACAGAGCCCAACAGAGGGCTCAAATCCACGAACTAGGAGATAATGACCTTAGCAGAAGTCGAACAAATAACCACCTGAGCCACCCAGGCGCCCCTTGGCCCAGGTTACTTTTAAATCAACTCATGCAACCAATACTCACTGTAGCCATTAAAAAAGAAAAAAAGAATCTCCGGAAAGCCTCCTTGGAATACCTCGCTTTAATCCGGGTAACTTTCTGGATGCAAAATGTACTTTTAGGAAGCAGCATGAGATAACCTACTTTACATGAGGCGTTTATAAAATAGCTGACTTGTGGGGCCCCATCAATCGCCTGTAGGACCTTTCTAAAGCTCTTCCTTATGGCAATCTTGGGCCAGTTCTGCGTGGTTTGGCATGAAGGGCCTGCTTGTACTGTCTGTTCTGCTCATAAGACTTTTTTTTTTTATCAAAAGCATCCTGTCAGAGAGCGCCTGAGTGGCTCAGTCAGTTAAGTGTCCGACTTAATTTCGGCTCAGGTCATGATCTCAGAATTTGTGAGTTCAAGCCCCGCGCTGGGCTCTGTACTGACAACATAGAGCCTGCTAGGGATTCTCTCTCTCCCTGTGTCTCTGCCCCTCCCCTGCTCATGCTCTCTGTCTCTCTCTCAAAATAAATAAATACACATTAAAAAAAAAAATCATGTCAGGCAGACGTCCTGTGGAAGGAGGACCAGTTCTGCCTCTTAGT